CCCCGCTTTGCGCTGCGCCGGCGGGACTGCGGGTCTCATCTGGCGCGTTCCCCCGACACCTCGGCGGGGGCAACAGCCTATTCGTGCTTTCTCGGGGGGTTTTGCAGCCCATGATCGAGCTCCGGTTGTAATTGCATCCGACCCGAGGAAACGTATCCCGGCAAAACTTGTTTAAAGCAGAGGGAGAAAGATGCAAAACCCCACCGGATGCATTGCTTTTCCTCATAACTTCCCAGGCTGGAGGGATTCGTGCAGCCGAGCAAATAGCTCCTGGGGCGCGAGAGCTGGCTGGACCGGGGAGTTTGGGGAGAGCCCTTTCTGACTGGGGTTGGTTCCGCCCTGGGATGCGCTCGTGCCACTCGGACGGAGGGGAGTCCTTGCAGGATGATGCAGCCGAGCAGCCACGTTGCTTGGATAAAAGCTGGGGGCTGTGTAGAGATGGGCTGTCTTCTGGAAGAGGTACAGTTCAGGGTTGGTTGTGAAGGCGAGCTTGCTAAAATCCATAGTAGAAAATGCACGTTTAAAAATAAGGGAAGAATGTAGCTAAGAACCCACGAGTGAAGAGGGGGGAGTCTGAATCCTGCAGCCGCCTTGGCTTGAAAAACAGTGTTTTGGAGCAGTGTTTTTGAGGCAGCCGTTTCCTGCCAGTTTAGACTGGATCCAGCGTCTCCTATTTGACCTGTTTAGTGCTCAGTCAGTTCCTGGGGACGTCTTTTATAGGAATTAGATCCAGACCTGGCGAGTGTGTCAGTGCAGGGAGGGAGGCTGGTTACTCGGCCAAATCCGGTCTTTGGAGGGAGTTCGGCTAAGGCAGGAGGTGCGAGATGCAGATAGAAACAAGGTATGGGTGTAAGGAGGGTCTTAATTAAGCTGTAGCACGATTATTCAAGGACCACCTGACACCGCACAGGCTGCGTGATCTTCATCTTCAGAAGATGACTCCGTGGTGGGGCAGTGCTGGTCTCCCATCCCCTCCTCCCACCTCCCTGGTCCTGAGCAGGTGGAGAGCTGAGGCCCAGAGACACTTGGTGACTTGCTGGAGGTCACACAGGGGGTCCGGGGCTTGTGCCCCCAGCTCTCCTGAGGCCCAGGCTCGTGTCTTGCCGGGTTGGACTCTGGCGTCCCTCTCTGAGCCTGGTTTCATGAGTCAGCATTCCTGGTCGTCGGCTCGGGGATGGTTCCCCGGAGGAGCTGGCAGGGCAGGGAGGCCGGCTCCAGCTCCGTGCCTGAACCTGACATACTTTTACAGGATGCTGGCACTGTCCCTGAGTGTTTGTTATTAAACAGTCCTAGCTGTGGCTCCCCTTGTTGTATCACCCTGGTCTCGGCCAGCTTTCTCCCCCGGTGCTGCAGGCGGGGGCAGCAGCATGCGACATCGGCTGTCACGCAAGCCCTGGGTAGATGAATTCAAACCATCCTGACTAGGGGAAGGCAAATGACTGTCTGGGCCAGGCGCAGCAGGATCGGTAGGTCTCCAGCATCACTGCTGCTGGCCCAGTGTGGCCCCTTGTCTGAGGCAGCCCCTGCTTTTCCCCACCACAGCCTCCAAGCACCTCTGTCCTGATTTGCTGTTCGGCCGTGCCAGCTCCTTTGAACCACTAGTTTAAGCCTAGTCCGGCGAGGCTGAGTTGTCTCTGCCACGGTGCTCTGCTGCCTGCAGTGCATCAAAGTCCAACTTATCCGGTTCCTTGCAAGCCTCCCAGAC